CATTTTTTCGTACAAAATCAATTTTATTCGTAATTTATGACCAACACTTATGTTTATAATATACTTATAAATATAAACACGCTGTAGTTTATAAAAATTGTCAGAATAGGTGGCAGAGGCACTTTAAGGTTTTGTTTCATTTAATTTATAAAATGTCACGAAAATGTTTAATATATTTTTTAGCTTTGCTTAAAATTCACTTTGATATGATTTTTGTATAATTAACTTACCTAAAAAGTAGTAATTTTAAAATTGTTGTTGAATTGTAATATTTACTTTTTTAGTAATTTTAAATATTTTAATGTTTCTTTATATGGTGATAGGAGAGCAGGTGTACATTAGATAATTGTTATTGTTTTTATATCATTTTTATTTTTGTTAACAGCATTGTTATCACTAACATAATATTTGAAATCTCTAATATGATAATTAAATTAAAATATAAGTAGTTTTGTCTACAATAAAAAATATTATCATCTGAATTATTTTTATTAGTATTTTTTATTATTTGTATTTGACTATATCAACATACTACCTTATATAAGGGCCTAATATTTATTCTTTATTATTAATAGCCTAATTTTCAGGAAATTGCAGCATGCAATAATATACATAACATTGGCTTGTACCGTACAATAAAGTAGAGTGATCTGATGCTGCAAGTAATAGGCATTAAGTAATATTACAATTTGAATGGTCATTAAACTACAAGTTAACCTTTTTTAATATCGCAAGATTACCATTTCAACAAAATTTAGAGCTCATTTTTATGAAGTAAAGTCATACACAATAATTATTACTTAGTTGCATAATTTCGAAGTTCATTCAAGATGATAAAAAAAATTCATTTTAATTAAAATTTGTAGTAAATATTAATTGATCCAAACATCTCATATTTACATATACAGTATATTGCTCTTTAATATTTATCATGGAGATATTTGTTTTTATCATAGAGATTATGTTATGCATATAGTAATACTGCCATGATTTGAGTAAAAACTGAATCTAGATTCTATCTACTGCTGTGGAAAGAGCTTTGTTTCTTGATTTAACTTTGAGTTATAAATAGCAGATTATTATAGGGAGTACTGTTCTACATTTTGGCTACAAGTGCTTATAATAAAAATAATAACAATAATGTTAGTCTTTTAGCACAATGTTTGCGGCATATTTTACAATCATAAATATTAACAAAACAGGAAGAAAAAAGAGAATATCAAAAAGTACTACCTGAAAATAAAGAAACCACAAGAAAAAATTACCAATGAAACAGAACAGACACCAAACCAATAAATAATGACAATAAATTCAAATACCGGTATAAAATACTTAAGACAATTTTTTTTTTTTAATGTCTTCATACCATTTTGAATTTCTCAATGTTAATTGATTAATTGGGTAATATCTTATGAAAAATGTGTCCTTGTATTGAAAAATCTGAGTGAGCACATTTGACCATTCAATTGGTACCGCAATTGATTATTATAGTGTTTGGTTGAATAGGAAAAGTGCACAGTGACACTAAATAAATAATAAATAATTATTTATAGAAAATAAATAACAATATAACAATTATAGTATAACAATTGTATTATAATTTATATTCAAATTTAATGAAATATGAAAAGGATATAAAATATAACTACATTGGTTGAAGGTAGGTAGGTAAGAACTAGTAAAAGCTTGTGTTTTAATAAATTATGTACAGCAGCTGAATGTCTGTAATTAGACTACCAGTACCAGTTTAGAAAGGTGCAAGCATTGGTTCTATTTATGATACTTAAAAATGTGCCATATAAATATAAATTATTATTATTATATTTGACTAAGTCAGTTAAAAATTTTATATATAGACTTTGTTTATGAACCATCCTAACGATCAGTTGCTTGTAATTAGTTTTTTTGATCAATTGCCGAAAAAGGCAATCAAATTCAGTAAAGAAACCAGTTGGTTAAATTGTCGGATGATCAATTAATTCATTGGTTGATAACATTGGAGATGGTTTTTTACATATCATCCTTTATGTCTCATAATCTTTGATTTGCTTAGTCTATGAATGCACTTTAAATAATTTAACGAATATTAACATGATATTCGTCAAACTCAAAGACGTTCTTGGTGTATTGATATTTACGAGGTTAATATGACATACTGTAATAAACTGTCCAATCAGAAAGGAGAACGATCGGATTTATAAATCAATAATTTGAGGAACAAGAATATCTTGACATGTTCTGGCAATTGGTTCCACGATTCAGGCGCCACTGACACAAATGCGCGACTGCCACAAGATCTCCTGTTACATTCGCAATTCTGTTTGATTGAATGATTGATTATATGCTATGGTATTATGATGTATGCATCGTATTCAAGAAATATTCTGGATTTTTGTAAGGCTGTGTATATTAGGTATCCTTATTTACAACAAAATTCACTATTGTATTTCTAAATACAACTTGAGTGCCCATCACTATTCATTTATTACTGCACAGTAATTCAGAAGTATTGCTATTTTGGAGAACACACTGTACAGTATACCGACTTTTATAATGTGACGCACAAGAAAAAAACCAGGCCTTTAATGGACGAGGTCATTAGTTAATGAATCGGCGAGTCGTAGAAAGCAAATTACGCTTGGAGACGAAAGAGTAGGCCTAATGATGGTTTGCTGAGCACTCTTATGTTCCGTCTCTTAATGATGTCACCGTCCTATAAAATTCTCACATTCCTTCGCTCTGTGAATAGTTACATATTTGTTTAGCGCTAGTCTGAAGCTCATGCTTTAGAGACTAACTTCTTTTTAGGAGTCATTAAGGAAAGAACCTAATCAGTTCAAATATATTTTATGGGTTTATTATCAGTAATTATAGTAATTGTTGACCAGAACTAATCTGAAAATAATAACTAATATTATTAGAAATCACCATTGCCTTTGTATTCGTCAATGACTTACACTGTCATTAGCATTATCAACATGCAAAGAAGGACAAGTAAATTTTCTATAGATATTTGCAACAAAAACAGTATTTTTAATTTGTGACTTATGTATTCATACTTTTTTTCTACATCAACAATGTTGCCCTTGATTCAAAATTGTAGTTGATTGTTCCGTTAGTAACATTTTACCTCATATTGGTTTCAGATCATTTCAATTCCTTGAGGCATATTTAGAATAAAGCTAGGAACATTGCTAAACTTTAAAGTAGGACACTAGATTGTAATGTAAAAGCTCTGCATACAGATGCTTATTATTAACCAAAATACCTGTAAGTGAAGCTTCCGCATCATCTGCCAAAGCAATGACATATTTACGCATCAAACAATCTAACTCTGTTATTTTAGAATGTGCTATATTCATGTTTTAATCTACCTTCCATACTTCCAGCCAGGTCCTTCTAGTGGTGAATTGGCAGTACACTTTGCATGCATGACCATTATTTTCAAAAAGATGTAATATGCATATGCGCGGATCATGGGGACAAGGGACATGTCCCGCACATATTTTTAAGGTGGGTTGGTTCCCCCACTTTTTAAGTCAAGAAGATGCCTCAAAATTGTTAAATGAACTGCATAAATGACCCAGGTTTTGACAAAAGAAGACTGTACAGGCAGAGTACATGATAATGAATTTTACTATATGAGAGTGTTATTTCCGGCACCTAAGCACCAACCATGATGGGCCTGAGGTGGGCGTGGACTCACAACTGTCCCCCACATTTCAAACAGATCCGCATCCATGGTAAAATACTTTACTTACATTCCTTCCAGCTAAAACACAAGACAGCAGCAATAATGGAATTGAACTAGGGACCAAAGTTATGGTCAAAATCTCCAAGGTTCAGTGGACACTTGGCTACCATTGCCGACTGAGCTTGCGGCTCTCTTATATTTTAGACAATTTCGTTTGAAATTTTTTTTATCAGTCTAGGAGTCTAAATATGTTGTTTGAAAAAGCTGCTATTCAAGTGTTAATTAACTAGCCAGATTTTTAGCCACAGTGAATTTCAAGTGATGGTTTAACATATAATTAGGGGTATTATTATGTTTATAGGAAAAAATAAATAAAAATCACCCAAAAGACCCTGGTTTCAAAATGTCACAATTATTTTGTTTAGGTCTGATAATGATACTTGGATGATGACAATTAAGATGATAATTATAAACATATTAGTTTTTTTTTTATCAGTCTTTGTCTTACTCATGTCCTCTAAAATATATATTATATTTGTGTGGCTCATATGTTTTTTTGGCAAAATCAATAATGATATGTGATTGTATGGTATATATACATTAATATTTGGATAAGTTAGTAGAAGTAGATCAAAATACAAAAGTGAAACTATAGATTGAAAAAAAAAATTATTTAAACAAACTCAATCTGTTTTATTTGAAATCATGTCTCTTTAATTGTGGATGTACTCTTTTATTCCTCTTTGAGCTACTGCTTCTCCTGGCATTTATGAATTAGGCATTTTGTTTTGTTTTCGTTATGGGAATTACGTGACCCTAGACTATATTCATAATCATTATCATTATTTTGTCTTTGAGAGAAGGATGCTGTCTCGTATTTACGTTCATTAGCATTTAATGCTAATGGGTGCTGTTCTTGTTTTGTACAGAGGTAGATGCTGATAGTTGGTGTAAGACTTTTGCGATGGAGGTGTGCCCAGAGAACTGTGGGATCCTTGCTGGTGAACCAGACATTCTGTTATCAGGGTTACAGAGGGAGAAAAATGGTAAGTTCAGATTCATTATAAACATGTTCATGTTTTTCTTTTTGAAACAGAATTGATGTCTGATGTAGCTAGTAACCTAACCTCAATTGACGCATCGTTCTCTCTTTCAATCTCTGTCACTGAGGACAAATCTAAAAACACGATGTGATGTATACTTTTCTATTTATTCCCTCAAAACATGTGTTCATCTGTATATGAGATGACGTTCCATTTAACGTTGTTTTTTTATTTCTCTTTCTGTAAATGTCATTGCTATAGATATGCTTTGGCATGTCGGTAAAATTCAAATCATGTAGTAATGGTTTGTCAAATACCTATGAATAAATACATCTAAATCATATTTACCTGTTCAGTACTTCTTTTGATGTGTGTCAATAATGTTAAAACTTGCTTATTTTGTTCTTTTAAATTTTCTTTTTCACATTCCTTGCCAGTTAGCTTTTTTCTAGTATTATATCAGGATAGGAAGTGTCTTAAGTCCTGGAATGGCCGAGACTCAACTGGTACTGTCATGGTACATTTTGACAGATCCCTGGTCAGTGACAAGGGTGTATCTCAATACTGCTGTTTGGGTGCTGTCTTTTTTCTTTCTTTGTTTTTCCAATTACATCTGTTCACTTGCTTTTAGCGCATAGAGACCCTCATATTTTGCATGGTATAAATAAATAACCTTTAACCATTTATTTTTTATTCAACCTTAATGTCATTTTCGGGTTTTTTTCCCCCTAGAACGTTTCCATGTGTTTCTGCAGCCATCAGCTCACCTGTCTGTTTCAGGAGAATGCACTTTACAGGTAACGGAAGACAGCGTTTTCCTCTGGGATGTAATCGACCCCAAGTTAAAACTGGCAACGTGGCCTTTGCAATCATTACGGCGATATGGCAAAGATAACTATCGATTTCTCCTTGAGTCTGGCAGGTAGGTATGATTAAGTGGGCAACAGGGTATCATGTTAACTCATTCTCTGATGATCCTAATAGTTCACTTTTGAAATAAATTATAATAATTCGTCTAAAAGTATGTAAATTAAATATAAAAAAAAACTATAGTATAGTGTTTTTCATGAATATTCAAAGTATATCGAGATATTTAGAAATATTTACGAAATATATATATACAAAATGAACATTTCACATAATTTCAAGTCTGTATTGTAGAATTTCTTTCTATAATGTGCAGGTATTGCGACACAGGTGAGGGCATGTTCACCTTTACTACGACCGAAGGTTATGAGATATACCAGAGGGTTCACAGACTGTCGATGGCATTGGCTGCCTCACAAGAAAAAAATGGAAGCAACAAAGATGTAAGAAACAATACCTGTATTAAAAGTGGTGCATTTTATTGGGTTTAAATGATACTTATCACAAGATATACATAGACATCACAGTGGAACATCATTATTATTCTAACAACATAACGTCAATTTCATTTTATCATTATTCTTATATTCTAATCCACAGCCTTTGAGTACTTTGAGACTGTTTCGGTATAAATTATATATAATACAACATTTATATAGCACAACATTAACTATACTATATGTGATCGGCTCTGGCAAACTCTCTGTTTGTCGCTATTTCTAATTTCTCGCAAGCACCCAAAACGTTTGGGAATCAGAATTTTGAACATTTTCATGTTTTAGGATTTTATAAACAAAGATATATTGAAGAACATTTCTACAAAATATCGATCACTTAATCAAAAAAAAAAAAAGGAAAAAAAAGTATATTAAAATTATTTTAAAAATACAAATATTAATAATAAACTATTGCTATTGATTTTGTAATATTTGGAAGCTGTTTTCTTAAAACCTACATGACTGATATACAATGAATTAAATATTCATTACTTCGCTAATACTCAGCCAATTTCCATCCAACAAACGCTGTTTTAAAGAAGAATTCATGCAAAATCTAAAAATACAAAAAAAATAATTTTGAATTTTTCCTACAAACAGCTGGTTTTCCAGAGCTGGTCACATGTAATATAATGATTAGAAGAAAATATATAAATATTATCAATAAAAACATTAATATAGAAAATTAAGTATTCTTTCTTACAATGTAGAAATCCAAATATACATATCATTGTAAGCCTTTCAGTAGTAAAGCTAAGCCTTGACAACTTTAATTATTCTAAAGTAGTTTTCAATTCTTATGTGTAAATGTGCATGATACATATTAGAGAAAAAAAGCACTTTTTTATTTTGTGATTTTTCACCAAAGTCTTTAGGAAAGACTGTTTTATACAGTATTAATAGTTTTACAAAGGTGACATCATGATACCCTCTATGTTATTAAACTAATAATTAAACATTATATACCAAAGTGCAAGTGGTATATATTAGCCCTTGCTACTGTAGTCAAAATTATGAATAAATATACCCCTCAGACAAATTACAATAAAAATAAAACGTAAAAAAAAAATATTTAGTATAAATAAAAGATAAATAATATCATAAAAATGTATGTCATTCATATAATAATGATGATATATAAAATTTATATAGTACTTTCACATATAATAAGGGTTAAAATAATAATACCGATGGTAATAATGAAGTACAGTAATCATTTTTTTGTATATCCCTTCTTGCATTTCAATATTCCTTTGATATTGTACTCCTACATTTTTATAGAACTTCTTAAAGGATGTTTTTCCCAATAGAAAACAAAAACAAGTATGAATGTAAAATATTATATGTGCATTCTTGAAATATAGCCCTACACTGTGCATTACTACTGAAAAACATGATCACTTCACCTCTTAGTTATTAGGTATAATGATTATTGAGAACACCTGACCCAAGTGACTACTCTACTTATTATATTGCCAGCTGACTTTACAGAACCACTTTAGCAAGATTGTTACCGTTGCCACTTTGACTCAAAGTTTTCCCGGTTCACTCATCCATGCAATTGTATAACCTTCGCAATTGACACACATTCCTGGTTTTTTCTGTCCCAAAATAACTTCATCATTACGTTAATGTTCATCTATTGGATTGATTACATATATAATTTTCTGATGCAATTTGCGAAATCAATATGTTTCTACTTACATCTCTAATTTTTGTACAATATAATTGTTTGAAATTGCAGGTAATTCTTGATTTCTCAAAGAATTTCATCTGTCTTCAACAGTTTGTTGATATGTTATTTCTTTTTTGTAAGCCAGAATAATACGTAATTATTATATATTTTATATTCCTAGAAATTATTCCTCTGTTTTATTTTTATTACCTGTCCTCTATTTTATTTTTTGCCATTCATATATTTCATTTATAATTCATCAATGTTGGCTTGTTGAATCAAAGTGAATATGAATCAACATGAATATGAATAAATATTATAATACATAATATATATTTTATAATATGTAATATATAATATATATTATATAATAATATATTATAATATATATATTATAGTATTTTTTAAGTTTTCTATATTTGTTAAAATGTTTACTAACTTTAGTTCAAATCACGATTGTATTATTGCAGATTCGTTCAAGCTTTTTATCAGAGAAATCTGTGATGCCAGATTTTCTGGATGAGAACGTTCGGCAAGCACAAGCAGTAGAGCAAGCAGCCGAGATGACGCAAACCGCAAGACGACACTCGTCAAGCTTCCATATCCCATTAAGTAAGACAAGATTACTGTTGACAGCACACTAAGCTTATCTCTGGCTATGGCCCTTTCATATTAAGAAATTCTACTACATTTATCATCACTTATCCAGCTCATATCTTTATCTAGGAATGAGCATATATACATACATCTTCAGTGGCAATTTCAAGGTTGGGTGTGTGGGGTGGGGGGGGGGAGCTGGCCTGGCCCCCCCCCCCTAAATTTTTCAAAATGATACAAAAATTGGGAAAAAAGGAAAATTATATTCAAATTTAAGTCCGAGTGCCATTTCCATAATCATAATGATATCTCAGCCCCTACCATGGTGGGGCTAAGGTTGGTGGATGCTCTCTCTGTAAAACTCCCTTCATGAGCCCCTCTACTTTGAATTCCTTGGTCCACCTCTACTTAACTTAAAACTTTTTAAATGATGTATTTCTATGTTTTAAATTTTAAAATGTACGGTATATGTAAAGGATGCTTTATGCATTCAGGCAGAATATTGATAATGTTGTTTTGTTTTTATGATATTTATGGTTTTTTTTTGTATCACCATTGATAATGGTTATTATTATTTTCTCTTTTGTTTTCTTTTATGTAATTTATCTTACCATTAAAAGAATTTGAAACCAAAAAATCAAATCAACCACACTGTAATACGGGTATTATTCATTATAAAGCGAAAAAACAGACAAATCACTTGACGTGTCTAATTTAAACAAACAAATGCTAAAATCAAGAGATATACATATTTTTATAGAAATTTCTTCCTAAAACTTGTTTTTACCATATCATGTTTTCACAGTACTGTTTTGATAGTACTAAATGTCTCAAATACTAATATGAACAGTGAAACACCTGCCCCTAACTGCCATAATCCAACATCCAATTGCATTCAAAATTTTGAAACTTGGATGAGTTGATTATGTGTTTTACCAATCATGTGGTAGAGTGTAGCTCAGCGGTTAAGAAGCTTGCCTTCAAATCCCAGTGTTCTTAGTTCATATCTATTGAAAATCCCCATGGGATCGCACCCACTAAATTGTAGGAAGAAAAATCATTATTTTATTATATTGTTGATGTGAAATACTGTTAAGATTTTTAAGGTATGATAGTGCAATTTCCGGGCACCCAGAGGTCCATTTTCTCGAAATTTTCATGCCTCAGCCCCAACCATGGCCGAGCTGAGGTGGTGAGGACTCACACGCACCCCCTACCCCAAAATCCTGCATCCACACCAGCACCCCTCATTAGTGTCTTCCACTTTGCATGGTCTCTACCCAGATCTTTTTCTGGATCCACCCTTGGTGTACATGCTATTTGATGGAAATATATGTTTTTTATATAAAAATTATTAGTTTGTGTGATATGCGAGTAATGGACATGAAGTCATAATGGTGGACAGGTAGGCAGACATCCAGTCTGACAGATATGGTGAAAGATAGTATAATATACCGATTAATAAAAAGTAAATGGTGAAATGTTTGATGGATGAATAGTTTGATGTTTCATAGGTCAAAAAAATTGATTTTATTCTTGGTACAAGATATGGATACATGTATTTATTGATTCTTTAATGAACACTATAATGTAAATTGTACTAAAAATCCATATTAGAATTATACTCTGAAAAAAGCTAAATGATTCACTAAAAATATTGAATACCAATTTGAAATGATACTGGTAATATTTTAATGATACATGAATAAAAACAATACCGGTTTTTTTAAGTTACAGAATAAAAAAAATCTTAAAACTATCATTAAAGTGAGTGTTGATTGACAAGAACAATTCTTCCTCCAGTTTTTAATTGAGATAATAATTAAGATAATAATTAAAAAATTAATATAATTTATGTCATTTTCTTGTATTGTATTGGAATTAATATAATTATTATTTTTTTATTATCACATTCTCTTTTTTTTGCGTGTTATATTTCCTATATTTATTATTTTATTATTGCCTTTACTTTAATAGGAGAGATGATTTTTTTAGTGAATTATGATAAAAAAAATATTTGATTGCCATTCTAATTTCTGCATTTCAATAACTTATATCAAATTTGTCCTTTGAACTGGCCAGTAATGAATGCCTGTTATGAATCAGTAATCAGGTGGTCTAATTGTCTTGGCTAAAAATTGATAGTTTCAAAAGTAATATTCAACTATAAACCTATGTATAAATATGTCGTGAAAGTATGTAAAGTTGTTATCTTTGAGATGACTCATCATTGCCACAAATGTTTTGGCCTAGATTATGCCTTTAGTACACCATTTGTCTCGTACCAATTGAGTTAAAGTGGATTCATTTTGCGTCAATGTTTCGATATGATTACATATTTCACGATCGAGTTGGCCAGTAACTGTACATGAAAAAATAAAGTTTTACGACTTAAATACTTATGACTCATTCAATTCTTAAGGAATTTGAAGAACATTAATAATTTTGAGTGATTTCATTCCTGAAGAGTTTACCTGTATATTGGCAGCAACTTAGATTTTGAAAGCTGCAACAGTTGAACTTGTAAATCACTCACCTTCACTGCCTGTGATCATAAAGAATGTATTATTTCTCCCTTATGTCATAAATTCAATGGAAATTTAGCAACTGTAAGAAACAGTCTTTATATAATTGATTAAAGTGACATTAATTTTCATGTGGCTACATTTATGTTTCAGTACTTCTTTAAAATGTAAATATGCTGAACGTATTGTCCAGTAATTTACTAAGATGTGAATCTAGATTATCCTTCTGGTTGTTTGAATTATTAACTTGTAGCATATTTAATGATAATGATTATCCAATCAGTGAAGCAATCATAACGAATTGCATAGTGCCAGAATACATAATAATTTATGAGAATAATAATAATGTGTAGTGTGTTATACTTGAGTGTAAAATTTGTGACAATACACAATGTACACTATCATTGTCAGATCCAGGAATTAAAAAAACAAAGAGGTAGCCCAGGGAGGGATTTTCACAGATAGAGGGTCCACCAACCTTAGCCCCAGAAAAATTATAATTATGTCACCACTAGATGGTCGGAAACGGCACTCAAAGACTTATATTTGAATATAATTCTGTTTTTTTTCCCATTTTTAAAAATAATTTTGAAAAAGTTATTGGGGGGGGTGGGGGTGTGGATGGCCCCGCCATTGAATCCACCACTGACCATGAATAGAAAACAGCACTCTGAGTATTGATGTTAGTATTGGTGGTGTTGGTGACTATCAAAGTAGCTTTCTATGTTGCATATGCTTTACAACCTTACAATCAACATATTAACAATTTATTTTAAAGTAATATAAATTCGTTAATACATAAATATAAAATGCAATAAAACTAAAAGTAAAATATTATATTAACACACATCCCTGTTGTATCTGCATTATTGATATCATAGAACTTGAACAACAAATTAATACCAAAATGGTGAAAAACAGACATGATAGGCTGAGGAAATGATAGGAGAATGACATCATTGCTAATGCTATCTTCTACTTGATATATGCTATCTTCTACTTGATATATGGTAATGTACAAGACAGACATAAAATGGAGATAGAAAATCTGAGAAGCCAATGTCCTGTAGGATAAGATTATACCATGTGATTATACTTAGACGTATAGCTGACTAATAAATTTATTCAAGGAGAATCTAAATGCAATTAATATGATTAAATAATATTTACAATTTTAGCCTAAAACATATCAAAATCAAACTTAATTTATTATTAATTTTACTTAAAATAATATATTTTAATTGCTGGAAAAAGTTACTTGCGAAATCCAGCTTTAAGGGTACAGGGGATTTTTTTTAATGGAATTTATTATGTGTTTTCTGACACTTTTATAATACTGTATCTAAAATTGTTATAAGTGCCCATGTATTTTTGCCATATAAATTCACATGTCAGGAAAATTTTCACATCGTGTATATAATATATAAATTTCATGTTGTGAAAATGTGTATGTATCTAGTATTAGTGATGAAGTATGGAACAGGTGTGGGTATCTCTTTAACAATACTTTAAGAGATAGTAAATGCTGACCAAATCATCTGACAGTTGATTTAGTTTACAGAATATATGTTACTTTATCCGTACTATCAATCATTATATTGCAAATGCCAAATGAAACTAGAGGCTTGAGGTGATCATATATATACATGTACCGTAATGCACTGTAGACTATGTTTGTGAAAAGAGATAGGTTACAAGCCGATTGTGACGTAATGGAAAAATCATCCTGCCAATACAGAAGGTCTCTTGAGATTCTTAGATCGATGCACTCTCATCGTCTTAGGTTTCAAAATAAGTTCCGTGTTGAAAGAGTATAAATATTCAGGCATGCTCTCATCATAGATGATTAGTATGGTAGGTAAACTGTAATGACAGTCCCACACAGTCACATGACATTATAGATTGAGCTCCAAATTATTTCGAACAATTCTAGCTTCCTAAACTTCCTCTTGCTAAGTGTAGCTGGGAGGTAGCAACGGAATACTGGATAGGAGTATTAAGCGTATGCAAAAACCCTGGTTGCATGATTGTAGACTGCGGCCTACAATCACAAAATAATTAAAATATTGTGTGAATCGTCTGATTTCTAATAAATCAATGAAAACCAACCAAAAAACACTTAAGCATGTGGATCCAATGACCAGGGACAGAAGCGCTTCGTGTCTGCAAACAAAGGCACGTGTTAAATACGAATATGAAGACATTTCATTGTCCAAAGTTAACAAACTGATGGTGATACAGTAATGAGAGTTCCTTTTTGAGCATACATGCCCATGCTCCCAGATGGTGGAATTTTACCTGATGGTAATTTATTGAATTAAGAGAAGGTTATTTGTATAAATTCAAATTGTAAACGTTCCAATTAAGTACCATAAAAGAAACCCCCAATTTATAGTTCTGTCCCCATATTAGTGGGTTCATATTGAACTTTGACTCTCAAACCAGCTGCATCCCTCAACTAAGGCATACAATGTGACAGGGGACCCCCCCCCCCCCCCAGTCTGTAAAAGGTTAGGAAACATTGTGTTAAAGCATGAGTGTTCACTCATCTTAAATAGTTTGCCTGCAGTACAGCAAGTGTGTGTATGCTTTGGTCTTTTCTGTTCATGTGCGTATGTGTTTGGCAATGTGTATGTGTGGGAGTATTGTTGGAGTGAGCATTTATATATGTCAATGTGAATCCTTCATTCTTGATATATTGCAGCATATTGGCTATTTTGTCAGCAATTCACTTGTCGGATTTGAATTATTGTCTTGTGAAATGTCACAGGAAGTCAGGTAGCCCAGCAACCTAGTTTAATAGTGATTGAATTCACTCCACACTAATGACATACATTCACCCAGACATTAAAATGTGTTGCAAATGGCCAAATGCTCTTGCAATTGCCTACTTTCATTGATTAGTTACATTATAGTGAATTGAAAGTGACAATAAACCATCGTCATGCAGTGGTGCGTCCAAGGGGAAGGGGAATGCAGAAATGAAAAAATGTATGCACCACCTATAGAAAGCTTGCTTAGCAAAAAGAAAGACACTAAGTTAAAAAATAATTTAAATTCTCTTTTTATTGCCTTATATTTACTCAGCTAGCTCCTCGATTTCCCATTAAGCCACCCTCCTAATTATCTTAGTTATATAATCAATATTAACATCATCATCATTTTTGTCATCATCATCATGAACATTATATTTTTTAACATTATTTTCATCATCATCATCCTTGCAAATCACCCAGTTCACCTTATTTTGTGCTCTAGCTCCCCTTCACCTAATCATCAAGCCCCCTACTTCACCTTTGCACCCCCTCGATAGCCCCATTTCAAGACTCCCAGATACGCCACTGTTATAATCGTCATCATCATGATCATTATCATTGTCAACATTATCATAATAATGATCATTATCAAGTATTTAAAATCACCACAATTCACCTTATTTTGTGATCTAACTCCCCCTCATCGAGCCATCAACTCCACCTTTGTACCCCCTCCATCAGCCCCTGTTTCAAGCCTCCCAGATACACCAATGTTATCATCGTCATGATGATGATCATCATCAACATCAGCATCATCATGATTATGATCGTCATCGTTTATGAGTTGTTGTTATATTTGACAGTTATTTTCAATGTATTTTTGCCTTAATTAATTCCACCTGTTGTCAGAAGATCTGTCAGCTATGTTTTTTTTTATATTCATTGATCTGTTTTGTTTAATTTTAATACACAGATTCCCCAAGACGCAAACCTTATGTTATTTTAAGAACACTTGTACCGAAGGAGCAGGAAACATTAGTGACTAAGGACCAGGTTACAAACATGTCTAAAGACCAGGCTGCACTCATTCCCAATGAGCAGACTTCACCAGTGCCTAATAAGGGTACACCGGTGTCTGAAGACCAGGCCATACAAATGTCTAAGGTCCAGGCCATACAAATGTCTAAGGACCAGGCCACACAAATGTCTCATGAGCAGGTTGCACAAACGTCTAAGGACATTAAAATGTCTAAGAACATGTCCACTCAAATGTCTATGGACCAGGCCACATTCATGTTTGATGAACAGGCAGTGCATCATCAATCTAAAAACAGCAAATGCCAGACAAATGAAGAAACTCCTTCCAGCCATACAGAACTCAACATTTCAGGTACAGTACATTTTAATTAGGATTCATCAAGAATTTATGTTATATGTCTCAAATCTACAGAGCACCAGTTTATTAAATTTAGACATAACTTGTCATTGACTGGTGTTAGAACATTAATTGAACAGTTACAAACTAGATCTAAATTATGGAGATTTATTTTTAAAGATAAAGGTCTTAAAAGATGAGTGAGGAATTTGTCAGCATTGCAGATGACTTTAGCAAGAAAGAAATCCCAAGACATGTAATATCCACTTATATTATGCAAGGTGCTTGAAATTCTGAGGCACTTTATTGATTGGTTAGGAATGGGAATATATATATATTTTTAAATTAGTAAAGATATACTTAATCATTTTTGTATGCTATTTGAATAAATGAAGTAAATATTTTGGTCTTAAGGAGACAATTTAAAAATTCAATTTTACTAGCTGAACACATAATCTTTCAGCAAATTTAAAGTGTAGTCATTTGTTTTTTTAAATGAATTGTATATTGATTCAAATGTATTGATATTTGTTACTTATAATCAAATAATAAACTAATAGTGCAAAAGTAATTATTACAAAAAAAAAAAAAAAAAAATACAACCAAAACAAGCCAAATATAAAAGGCTAAACACTGCCTTGTAGAACCTGACCCACTACTGTGGAAAAGCCATTGTTTAAGGCACATGGTACACTAAAAACCAATCACCGTTCAGAGGGTTGAGCTTTTTAATGTAATGGTCAGAACTTTGCACTTTACACGCAGTTGTATCATAGCTGCCCGACAGTGGCGGCTCTAGGATATCATTTATGGGGGGCTAAGGTGTCCGACTGGGGGGGCTAAGTATTTATGGGTGTAACTATAGCGCACAGTGTAATCAGAGGGACAAAGGCCAGAGCCGGGAGTGGGTATCCCCTCCTCCCAAAACAAGATTTTTCTTAAAATTGGAAAGTGCGGGGATGGGAAACCTGGGCCTACTTTTTTTTTTTTGGTCCAACTGCCCGACGAGCTTTGGCCGATGTGGGGGCTTGTCCAGACCGATCCGATGGGGTGCTTAAGCCCCCCCCCCCCGCTGGTGCCACCACTGCTTCCCATCTCGGTAGCATTAATATTTTTTATGAACTATATTTGTATATATAGTTTGGAACATCATTTCACATTATTTATATGACGAATAATCTTTAGTCTTTACAAAGAGACATAATACATCAATTTTTTAAATTTTTATGGTAATACTTCAGTTATTCTAATAATCAGTTATTTTCTTCCCCAGATTTGATTATTAGCAGCATTGAGAATGAATCAGACACATCAGCCACAGATGTATGGATTCCTCGACATATGTGTAATACATTGGAGGCTCACGGCCTGGCATCTGCATCAAGAACACAATCAACATTATGATATCAATTAGAAGTTTTATAAGATATCTTCAATTTCTGTAAATCTTTAAAAGTCTTACTTTAAATTCCACCAGAAATCAGTTTTTTTAGTATCCAATAGACTGAATTATTCACCAGAAATGATGGGATCATGATTTCTTATAGTGGGTGTACAAACATAAGCATTCGCCAAAGGGCTATGCTAATACATAGAGCTGAGTCCAAAGTGGTGTATATTAAATTGTCTAAAATGTAATGAAGTCATTCAGACCAAAAATATAAAGAGTTTTGAGAGGCTTTGCAAGGCTTGGAATGAATTTTATTTTATTGGTGTAAACACCAAGGATAGCCCACGAAAGTCTAGAAGAAGACTTATTTCCCAGTGGAGCCCTTCTGGTGGTGATTGGGCAGTACACCAGGAGACAATCCCCTACTCTTTTCCGAAGAGCGTACTGTGTTCTTTAACGTTCACATGGGCCATAAATACACACAGGACCAATGGCTTAAACGTCTATCCGATAGACGGTGCCCTATTGTACCTTGTATTTCAGCCCTCCAGCTGAAACACAAGGAGAGGCAGCGATGGGAATTGAACCGGGGACCTACAGATCTCCACATTTCAGCGCACACACAGTGGCTACCACCAGATTAGCCGACTGAGCTGGTGCTTAGTCTACTGCGCGACTCGCCACGTCCACTGCTGACTATGGGGATTGTTGTTTAATTTGAGGTACTCGTTCAGCTTATATACTGTCACCAAGTCATGTTACAAATTGTGTATTAAATATTTAAACTATTGCACAAAACTTAATTGTAGAATAAGATGTTTCTTTTGACTACAATTGTTAATGAGTCAGAAGAATGTTGTTTGTATGGCTGTCTAGTCTAAGGGCTAGGCCCGTGATCATGCGATGAGGCTATGCTCACTGTGTACAAAAATGTTCAAGCTTTCCATCTGTTTCTTTCATTCCATTTCAAATCTAACGGGTCAAAATTATGTATATTTATGAAAATTTTCCAAGGCTTTTTGAGTTAATTTATGTTAAAATGTACAAATACAAGTTTGAGGGGTTTAAAAACAGTCAAAAGTTGTTTGAGCAGAGGCTTATTATTGTGTGAAAAAAAATACCACCTAGGGGTGTGTTTTGATGTTATACCCACTGCACATACCCAGCTTTGGTGACTAATTCGGTCAGTTAAAAAGAAAAAGTTCTTGAGGCTTGAACTCTAGAGGGCGCTATTCCATTTAAAAATCACATCATAGAGCTGGTCAGCTACAAGGAAAATCTTAAGGTAGAAAGGGGGCTGAAGGTACATCAATCTTGAAGCACCATGGCCAGCAATTCAAAATCTTATGTTATAGTTTATATTATTATTATTATTATTATTATTATTATTATTATTGTTATTGTTATTATTATTATTATTATTATTATTATTATTATTATTATTGATAATGATTATATAATGATGATATAATGATAAAAATAAAATGGTGATAATAATATTTTATTTTCTTTTTATATTACTTCCTTATGTGTTCTTGACAGCCAGTGCTGGTGCTAAACAGAGTAGGTGCTGTGCTGTGTAACTTGAGCAAATGTAATTGTGATGTGGGGTGAAGGTGAATGAATGAAGTGGAAAATCCTAGCAGCTTTGACAATGTGATTTGAGAAGTATTTAAAAAAGAATCTCAATAAATATCTGCTATTTTCATTAAGTTTTAATCAACTAAATAACAAAAGCTTCAGATACCAAAACTTAGAAGACTTAATATAATTCTAAATTTAATTGTTAATATTATACACTTGTATTACGCAGATTCAACAATTGTATATTGCTATATGTCCCTATTTATACA